AGCTGCTAAATTGCTGATAAAAAAGAGCTCTTCACGGTGAAGGAGATGCACGAAGGATGCTTCCGAAGGCCTAAAGGTGTCTTTCAACCCCTGAAGTAGCCAGAGAGAGCAAGCCGAGCGCTCCATGCCTGTTTCACACCAATGCAAAAAAGCAGAAATGCGACTGACTGAGTGACCACAGCAGGTCGGCTGTGTGGGGGAGGGCGGAGCGGGGCGGGGCGGGGCGGGGTCACTCATCTTCCGGGTGGAGATCGACACCCCCCCAGGGCTGCCCCACCCTGCTTGGCCTGTTGTACGCCCTGGTGTGGGATGTAGTACAGTGGAACATCTGTATGTGACTGCAGTAATGCATCTATCTACTGGCAGCCTCTGCCCATGTCTTGGCCAGTTTTGGTGTGTTTTGGATTCTGGAGAATATTCCGCTGTAAGCCTCAGGTAATTTGGGAAGAGTTCATTAGGGTCCAGGGACCAGTGTCATGGTTCTGGATGTGGACATCAAGTACAAATTTGTGAATTTGTGGTCAAGACCATGGCCTGCGTTGAGGGGCCCCATTTTGAGGGTCCCCCTCTTGTGGGCCACTTCCTGGCTCCCTTCCAGTGCTTCTCTGTTTAGGGTTCCATGACCCAATGGATTCCGGCACGCTGAGTCTGGTTCTGGCGGTTATCCGCCACTTCCTGTGAGGGAGGCTGCCCCCTCTCACGGCCCTGGTCCGGTTGGTCCCGCGGGTTTAGTGTCAGGGCTGCGGGGGCCATGGCGACCCGCTGCTCAGCCCAGTCACTGAGCCCCCCCTTCGCTCGCCTGCTGGTTTTCTGACATCGATGTCACATTTGCGGCTTCGGTCTTGTTCTTTAATAAGAGGCGTGCCGCCCCGCAGCAGGGCATGATGGGAAGATCCTCCACCACATCAGCTCATATTTATTAATAGCACACATTGAACCTCTTCACATGTGTAGGGCGGGTTTATTTACCAAAGTGATCTTAACCCAAATATAGTGTGTATGTGAGCGTGTCAGTGCGCCCGTGTGTGTGTGTGTGTGAGTGTGCGTGCATGCGCTCTGTTACAGTGAGAGATGTGGGGGTTGACGATCTTGTGAAAAGGAAGTCTGTGGTTCAGCCGTTTTTGTGCTCGCAGCCATATTTCTTCCCCGTTTCTCTTTGCAATTTCTGTTCTTGTACGTGTGAAATGGACCAGCGTTGAGTTCTTTTGGCTCAGATGGGACAACAACGGACCAGGCCTAGGGTCCTGATGGACTGTGGATAATGTCTTGCATGATAATGGGCCCCCTAGTGCATTGTGGGGGAAGTGCGGTCCAGGCGCTGTCATAAATGTATCTTCTGTTTTGCGCTGGCTTAAAATATCTACGAAACGGGAAACGTGATCCATGTGCGAGGGGGGGGGCTTAGCTGTGTCTGCACGTGACTGGCTGTGGCTGAAAGAGAGGCAGGTTTCTCTGTTCATTTTTAATGTATTTGTTTTTATTAGGGATTAGAGTCTAAGTATATTTACATATCTAGTGCTGCCTGTGTGCGTGTAAATGCACCCCCTCCCCCAGCCATTTTTGCAGCCTCACTGGGCTACTCTCATGCTTCTTTGCCCCCCCTTCCACCAATGCAATGCCCCCCCCCCAATCAAATCCATCCCCTTTTTCGTGGGGGCTCAGAAGAAGGAAACGTCTCTTCTGCACTTCCTGCCGCATTTGCTGCGCGGGTGTGTGTCTGCGCCCGCATGCGCCGGCGTCGCAGCTCGGGGGCCGCAGAGTGTTCGCATCCCTGCTCCCGCGGGTGAAGCTGACTGTCGGCCGTCTTTCCTGCTGCCGTCGGGTCGGGGTGGGGCACTGCGACGGCCCGTGGTGTAGCGCCCCCCCTGACCTGTGTGCTCAGAGGCCTGTGAACAGCCTTCTGGATAGGAGGCTCTCTCTACGCACTGCAGCTGATTGGAGATTGGGGAAGCTGTCCGTTAACTTTCAGCACATAAATGCTTCAGCTTCTACCCTGGGGGGTGCTGTAGGGCCCCACCTGCACTAGGATGATCCCGTAAACCTTTATAGACAATGTTAGCTTTCAGGCTTTGTGCCAAAAGCTGTATGTTGTAGTGGTTTTTGTTTCAGTTTTACTTGCAGTTTCGCTTGACAAAAAGGGGAATTTTCTTTCTGCCTCAAACACTCCAAGTAATTTTTGAAATCTCATGTTTCTCATTGTCTTGGTACCTTTTCTTCCCACACTGCTCAGCTACGACCCTGATTTCCTCAGTACTCTGACGCATATGAAGGAAATGTATGTCTAGTCTCGAAATTCTTGACAAAGGTTATTTCGTCGGCACTTCTGAAGGGCTGAGCGGTGGTTCACTCGTTATGCCCGTAGAGAAGGAGGGAAATTTAAGGGCACAAAGCGTGTGATGAAGTAGCCATCAAAAGCGGTGAAGGCGTTTAATGCAGCTATAAAGGGCCTGTCCTCCGATGTGGGTCTGATTAGAAGCCGCCTTGTTTTCATTTACCCAGCGTGGCGGTTTCCAAGTAATCAGGGCAGGCTGTCAGTGAATCGAGGTCGCCCATACAGGGCAGCTCGGGGACACTGACCCAGTGAGGGGGCTGTTTTCGGCGGGCGCGGGTGTCTAAATTTACTCCCTGAGGCTGTTGTGGGTGATGACAGGGGGCGGAGCCCATCGGGGTGCGTCTGTGAACGCGGCCTCGCCGCGCGTCTCCCTGCAACTCGTCCCGCCAACAAAGTTCACGAACCTTTCGGCGGGATGCTTCATTTGCACCGTGGGCAATATGGTCCCGTCAGGATGACCCCATCGGCCACACCAGAAAAGACGATGCTGTAATTTAAGCCAGAAGGGGACTGGGACGCATGGAAAAGTGCAGCCATACCTTCTCCCATTTCTGCTCATTTCCTTTGCAATGCCTCCATTTTAATCACGCATTCTCGCCCGCCTCGACTCGGAGGAGCTGCGACTCGCCGTTCGCAAACGGAGGAGCGCTTGGTCATGTGACCACATAGCCGCCACCTCCTGTCCGTCTGTGAGGAATTAAGGCGCCATGACTCGATTCCATGTCCCTACCGAGCGTATAATGGGCACAGATAGATGGTTACATCTCTATTTATTTATTTCCTTTTAAGAATAAACAGACTCCTCTGAATGGGCCTGTTTTGTTCCTCCATCTCGCCAAAAGCCAGTTCAAAGACTCGTGTTGGGCTTTGGCAGCTGGAATGGAGTCTCTCTCTCCAAACAGAGTCCTACTGTTAACCCCCCGCCCCCCCCCCCCGGTCCCACCTTGACGTACAGTGCCTGCTTTGAGCCCCCAGCCCTCTCCCCTGATGTGTATATATATATATGTATGTATGTATGTATGTATGCATGTTCTTTATGTACATACACACCCACATGTCCACATACACAGCTGTGAACAAACACACACACACACACACACACACACACATACTGCTTTTCGCCCAACCCTCCCAAACTGAAAAATGGTAAAATGATCCTAAAAGCTCCATTTTGTTTTAAGTGTTTTTTGTGGAAATACTTTGTTCTTGCCTGTGTACAGTAAGTGCAGGTGGGTCCTTGCCTATGCCAGCGGGTCTCTGTCTGCGCGAGCGGGTCCCTGTCTGCGCGAGCGGGTCCCTGTCTGCGCGAGCGGGTCCCTGTCTGCGCGAGCGGGTCCCTGTCTGTGCGAGCGGGTCCCTGTCCCTGACTATGCACTCTGTGTGAGCAGGTGTATCTTGTCCTGGTAAACACAAACACAGGATGCAGCCTGATGAGATGGACAGTGACAGGGAGATGGGGGGGGGCGCAGACTGCAGGAAGTGATTGGCTGATGGCAGAAGGTGTGGAGCATGTAGAAGTGTAGGTGCGTGTGTGTTTGTGTGCTGAAAGCTGAGAGGTTGAAGCAGACTCTGTGGGGCACTGACTGGTTTGCCGAACCACGTTGCTCCCCCCCGCTGGGGAGGTGATGATGGACTCCCCCCCCCACCACCACCACCTCCGCACTCTCTCAGCTACAGAAATAAACGAAAGGCCACACACAGCCCACCGTGCCTAGATTCCTGACCCTCGCCGCCGTGATATTTCTGTGGCCGGGGGCCATACAGACCCCCCACCAAAAGGACGAGTAGCCCGTCTCCAGACATGCAGCCTGTATAAATATACAACGGCATCTCGGGACGGAAATATCACTCTAAATGAAGTGGGGGGGGTGAGACGGGAAGGTGAAAAGCTGGATCAGAATGTGCATCTTCGTGTGCTACAAGAACAGCATCAGCCTGTTTAGTCCGCAAACGTCTGGCTTGTAGTGGCTCACACAGCGGGGTGGGTGGCGAGTGTGCCCCCCCCACGCACACACACACACACACACACACACATGCTAATCCCAGTCAGGCTCTCATCTTTCACCCCAAACACGGCGGCGGCGCTCGTGGAGACGGATGCCTAAAAGGGGCGTGTATTCGTCACAGCCGGACACCCGGACGGCAGGGGAGGTCGGCCAGGGGACAGGAAGCGGGGCTATCTGTGTCTGTCTGCCTCATGGCTGCGAGGTCAAGAGGTATCCCGTCGCCAGACAGGGACGCCTGAAATAAAGTTAGTAGTAGGCAGGGTGAGTGTCACTGGCCGTGGGTTTGTGTTATGGTAAACACAACGGCACTATAGCATGTGTCTGACACAAATATCAATCAATAACCCAACCCTAATATCATTAATTAATTATTCTTAATTGATTAATTATTTTCCAGCTGAACACCTACGTTGGTCCAGTACTTCATGTTGACATTACGGCCTCCACGATCCAGCCTTTCGTTGTCTCGCTTACACAGCAGCATGTGCATCCAGTGTCTGCCGCCTAGGCAAATCGTTGCCAAGGTGATGTGATGTCACCGGCACGGTGGCAGTGAACAGTGACTGTACGGACAGTGACGCCCGTTTGTGATGTGTCGCTCTGCGTAGCGTCGGCCCGACCCGAGGACGTCGGCTTGATGCTGTCGGGCGTGTCTTTGGCAGGTGTATCTGAAGGCGCCGATGATCCTGAACGGTGTCTGCGTCATATGGAGGGGCTGGATCGACCTGCAGCGGCTGGACGGCATGGGCTGCCTGGAGTACGATGAGGAGAGAGCACGGGTACGTACACCGCACACACACTCCCACACGTACACCGCACACACACCGCACACACACCGCACACACACTCCCACACGTACACCGCACACACACCGCACACACACCGCACACACACTCCCACACGTACACC